GCAAGCTTGAAGATTGATGGTTTGGAATTAATGGCAGTCACTCGTCATCTCCTTTGCCGAGCTTATAGCTGACTCATTTAACACAGGATTCAAAGCGTGGATAGGAAAGTCGAACGTACCAACTGAAAGGTTTGATTTCTTCGGTCATGCTTTCGCTTAACCGATTCGCTTGTCTGTTTCCATTTCCTGGTTGTCCCTCAAAATCGTAGGCTGCAGAGAACAGAAGCCTCAGTTTGGACACGCTTGTTTTCATCCCAGTTTCACCTCATGTGGCAGCGAACCAATAATGTATGAGAAGCAGGGATTAGTGCATCGAATGTATCCAATTAGGACTTTGTTTGCATCAATGCTGTGTCTACCGTTCAGTCCATAAATTACAAACAGATGAGGCGAAAACAAAACCTCATTAATGGGATCAACACATGTCGTGAGCAAAACAGTTTCGAGAGCTCCTCCTTGTTTGTTTCTACAATTATGATTTTTAGAGCGACCAATTCACAAAACTTAGCCCTTCAGTAAGTTCATGAGAATTCTTGAGTCTACTTCGCTTTCAAATAATGATTTATGTAATTAATTATGCTAAATTAGCACTCAGATTGTCGTAATCCATAGCAAGTCATCAGTCAAGAGATTTTTTTCAACAGAATATTTGGAGATGTTATGCTACACAAGAAATTGCCTGTTTATTTCTAGTCAATTATGATACGTTTACATATAGTAGACTTTTGAACGAGCTAATTTGGCAAGGAAGATTGGGTGCACCGCTCATACGTTCGTGGTCGCAATGGAAGATCGTTATGAACATGGTTTAGTTAATAAGATTATGTGAGATGCATCAAGAGATGCAGCTGCTCAGATACACACAGATATATAGCAAGCAGCTTCAGTATAACCGTAGGCATTACGCTTCTTAGATTTATAGCACTGCAACAGCGTTCCTGCCGGGTCATCTGTTAGTCCTGATCAAAGAATGGCAAAATATGAATTTGGCAACGTATGAATCTGTTTCAGACAGTCAGTGACCACCGTTTACCCTCTCATCCTCCTCATAACCGAGTTTCATATGTCTTCTACTCTAAGTTCTGGTCATAAGAAAGCGAGCATACTATCAACCGGCGTAAAACGTTTATTATTCACCACAAAATTCATCAAGTCTTGCTTTGACGTACACTTTTCTTGTCTAAAACATCTGAAGCGTAACTCATCCTCAACCCATGGATTTTATTTAACTTCATCACTATTCATATTTGTTGCAGCACAGTCCAATTTCAGCTATGTCAATAACGTCTACGTATTGCATGCATAGACTCTGATGCATTTACAGTATCCATTGAACTGTAAATCCCCGTTGATTTTCGAAGTATATTTTTAATAGCTTCCCACATGTGCGTTGTAGCACTGAATTGGTATTGCTGTGGGAAAAATTTGCGTGAGATCTGCCTATGTACTACAGGTCACATCCGTCTGAACAGATGCCCTGGTAGCACCTAAATGTCACGTAACCCAGTTTAGAGAGGTAATACCCATGAAATAATCTGTATGATTTGCTTGGTTCACCGTTCTAATTCACATTAAAGCAAGCTTGCTTCAAACTGATCTAATATAAACTTGAGTTAATAAAATATACATGCTAATCATCAGTATATAGGTTTCTTAGCGACATATTTCGCAGGAATGGCCATATTTCGAACA